AGGCGGCCCTGCCTCCGCAGGCCGGCCGGTGCCGAGGGGCAGGCCTGGGCCAGCTCCCCCCCGCGCTCGGACGCCTGTAGGGCCTCTCTCCCCCGCGGGTGGGTTACCTGGTGCCGGATCCGCTTCGAGCTCACGCTGAAGCTCTCTCCACGCTCGTAGGGCCTCTCCCGTGTGGGTTATCCGGTGCTGGATGAGACACCATCGCTGCCGGATGCTCTCCCTGCAGGCCAGGGGTTTCTCCCTGGGTACCCGTGGAGGGCAACACGGACCCTTCGTTGCAGAAGCTCAGTGAACAAGACATGAGAGCAGACAGCGCTTTCTAAGGAGAAGAAAGTATCTAGAGGACACCAAAGCAGAGCTCTGGAAATTTGTGCTTGGCTCAGCGTCCTTCCAAGAGATGAGGACCTACCGGGGGCACTGTCAGGCTGCTGGAGCCTCCTAGGTCCCGAGAGTGGAGATGTGGCCTTCGATGTTAGGAGCGGGCTCGTGCTGAGCGTAGGCTCAAGCTTAAATCCTTAGCAATCTCACTCAGTCCTTAGTAATCTAAGCTTACAAGATGACTGCCTGGGCAGTAGAGCAGCTGGAGAGGCGAGGACCTGGGCAGAGAAATACTGCAGGTCCGTCTGAAACCCTCTTCTGGGGGACAGCAACTGAATCACAGCGATGTCTTTGCTGAAGGCTGCAACACCTCTCCCAGGCACTTGGTGTTTCGTTAAACGACAAGCAGCTTATATGCAATGCCTCTGAAAGAAATTTTATGCTGGAATGATCTGAAAAGCAAACAAGCACATTTGAAATGTCCTTGCAGAACAGCTCCAGTCCCCTTGGAGAACTGCAGGAAGGATTGCTCTCATATTTATCCCTTCAGTATCTAAACGCTGGCACTGTAAGCATACCTGGGCTCTGTTGGCCCAGTACAAGGGGAAGGCACAGCAGTCACCACTCTCTGCTTTACAGCATTCTCATGTTTTGTAGTTAAACTGGCTCCTACGTGGGTCTTGGCCATGGCAGAGCCCACGGTGATGGATCACTCCCACTCAAGAAATGCCATTAAGACAGGGTGACTTCTGGAGTTAAGTGGACACACAGAACTCTGCCCGTATACGAAAACAGCTCTCTTCTCACATGCAAGATTATTACATAAACATCTGCAGCACAGATGTTCAGAATAAACCTACTGAGACTATTTTTTCAGGCAGGAAACGTGACAATACACAAACCAACATGGTGGTAGCTGCAAAGGCATATCCATATCCCCACAGATAATGTCACTGTCACAGCAAATTTAGAAGCAGTGTTTTCCAAAGCTCACTCAGAGCTCACAAGGTGCATCTTGGTAAGACAGAAGCTTTATGCAACGCCAGTAACATACCTGCTCTTTTCTTTAACTTAAAAAACAACTAATACCTTAGTTGAAAAGTTGGGTTTTTTTTTTCTGCAGCCTTGGAAATGTTAAAGCAAACAGAAGTACCAAAATATTTTTGATAGCTGTTACTACACAGTTGGAAATAAAAAAACATGACAATGTGTTTTCCAAGACAAATGAGCCTGCATTAGGAAGGTAAGAAAACACAGAAATATCTACAAATCAAACTGTTTGGCAGCACGTCATCCCTGGCAGATGGCAACACCAGTGTTAGCTTGCGGAGGCACACTTTGCTTACGGATTAATGAAGCAGGTGAATGAGTAATTGCTTTCAGATAATTTGCAGTGTATGTCAGGTGTGTCCTTGTGGTCCTGAAGGCTGTAAAAGATTTTAAATCCTCTTTTCATCATCTGAGAAAAGTTTTAGAATTCCAAGAGACATTTCGTCAACTTCAGCAAGGAGGAAGCATGGAGGCAAGCCTCCGCAAAGCGGTCACCTCCAAACCCTGACAGCACAGATGTGATATTTAAAATCATCTTTCTGCATTAGGCCAAGACTGTCCAGTTGCAAGGTTTAAGGATGACAAAGATAGGAGGATGGAGACACTTTCAGTGACTAAAATTCCAATTTTTTTCCTAACATGGTAAATAGTTTTTTATGACACCAATGCTATTTGAACAATTGTCATTTATATCCATCGAACTGTGACACTGCATTCATTGAAAGTTCAGATGTAATAAAGAAATGATTATGAAATCTTTGATCATAAATACAAGTCTTACCTAAAAATAGAGAAAAAAAGCTGGGAAGGGGTCTTATTTATTTTCCCACATTAAGACTGGTAGGTAGCACTGAAGCTTTTTCCATCTATGAAGTGTGTACTTGAGAGAGAAATACACGGTACGTTGAGGGAAACATTTCCTAGCATGCCACTTAAAGGCAAGCCTTGTCCTTTTCACGTAACAAAGTCATCTTCTGGCAGCTCTTGCACAAGAAGGTGGGGGAAGAAAAGTGATGTGACTGCCAGGGAAGAAAACCATCCCAAACTCCTGAAAATTCACCAGACATGGCCGAAGACTTTTCTAGGAGGTCCCCCAAGCATTATACATGCCACAGCGACACTTGACAGAGAAGAGGAGGTTCGTAAGTGGTCACCCATTTCCCCTTCACCAGCAGCCCTCCCCTCCAAGGCCAGACAGGACCCTTCCCCACGGCCCATCCTCCTGGCAGACCCCGACACCTTCCCCCAAGTCTCCCTTACCTTAGGGCTGCACAGCCCAGATGAACCGGTCAGCTTGTCTCTCTCCAGGTAGCCAATCCACCGTTCATCAGCCACTGCCGGGTGATCTCTCCCACTTCTCCTTGCTGCTGGGCGCCCGTGTCAACTCCTCTTCCTCCAGTTCTCTGCTCGGGGTTTCAGCCAGTAGGGGCACAGACTGCGGGCTCTCGACTAGACCTGACATTGCCGCTTAGAAACCCCTCCCAAGTCTGTCATACGACATTACTTATAGTTTATCATTAGTACCTTACAAATTGTTTATTGTATATAATATAAATCAAATAAAACCAAAGACATACTGTATCAAAAATAGAAAAAATATTTTTATGTTCCAACTATATAAATACGTTCAGAAATCCAGCTTCTTTTTTTTTGAAGTGGTGTGTCCATTTTGTTCAGTGAGACTCTTTGCAGACTCAGAACTGCCAGAACAGACAAAAGTCAGAAGCTGTTGTGGAAGTAAATACATAGAAGGTGGCAATTTAGGGTCCAAGACTTCCCCAAGAGTCCCAGACAGTTTACAACCTAAGATCAGTCTCAGTTTGGAAATGAGACTGATCAGAGAAGTGGGTTTAGATCAGGTTCTAAGAAGGGCTGAAGAGATCCAGTGGTCGGTCGCTAGAATACTGTCTTAAAAACATCTGTCGGGGACATATTCATGCTACACTGACAAGGTAAAACGGCGCTCAGAAAATGGAGCAGATGGTATCTTTAACACAGATCCAGCATGCAAGTGAACATACACAACTGGATGTTCTAAACTAAAGGGCTTTCACACGACATCTGATGTCAGAGGGCACTTTTGGGAGCCATTGCAAAGAGTCTAGAAAAACACTTCCACTGTTTTGCAGCCATTTAAGAAACACAGATTAAGGAATTTTACCAGAGATTGCAAATTGAACCAAGGACAGAAGAAAGGCATTGTATTTCCACAGTTCTCCCTGCCCTAACCGGTTTCTTGCAGGCGGGTTATTCTACGGAATACCGGAACTTGAAGGGTGAAGCGTTTCACAGCCCAAGGCCAGGGAAAAGGTCTTGGCAAGTGTCATTGGGGGAAGCACCTGCCTCTAGAAGCACCAACAGGAAGAAAAGTTGGGGACCTAAAACCTATTAGAAAAATGGAAAGAAAAGAAAAGGCACAGGAGGGAAATCGGGGGAAAAAAAGAGGCTCCGGGTGACCTGTGTGCTGAAGGCAGGACGGCGACTGGAGGAGTTTGTGCAATTCAGAGCAGAGGGCTGAAACAGGAGCTCAGTTCGGACCCGTTCTCCAGCATGTCATCTGTCAGCAGGCCACAAGGAGGAGCAGTGCACCCACCGATCACAGCACCACTGCTAGCACCAGCCTGGAATAGGGTTTCCAGTTTATCAGGAAGGCCTCCATGTACAAAATTTTCAGGATGGAGGAGCGGGCTCCATTCAGTATCGTCTCCTCTGTTTTTTGTTCCCCTTTCTTTTCTGTTCCTTCTGTTTCCGGGCTCCAGCCGTGGTAAATGTGATACAGTGAGCATCTAAGAAGTCCAGCAGCTTTGCCTTGGAAATTTTAATGCCATTCTGTTTCAGCTCTGTGTGCAGCTCAGCCAGCTCAATTGGCTCATAAAATAGAATCTTGTGGTACAGGGCTGTGTTTGAACGGATGTAGCACCTTACTGCCTCCAGCTTTTCTTCTTCCCGAGCTGCTGCCTGAGATGCTGGAAGCTCCTCTTCCTCCTCCTCAGATGCAAAAGCACAAGCTTCAAATCCATTCATGAAAGAACTAAAAGCAAGATCAAGTAGACCAGAGATCAAGGAAAGAACAGGCCACCAAGGACAGGACCAGAGCTCCCCAAATCCCTGGTGGCCAGCCACTGTGACTCCCCCCTATAGGGTCACACACTCTCCAATACTGGCACCCACAAAATGAGTG